GTAAAAGAGAAAGCCGAGAGGTCAGAGCTCAGAGCTAAAATCTCACCCTTCCTCCTGCTGTCCCAGCTTCGCGAAAAGAGAACTACTTCCTGTCGGTTCGTATTTTTAAAGTATGTTGTTCTGCCGTCTCATTGGTTGTAAACCCAAACACATGACTGCCTCGTCACTGTCTGAACAGCCCCCTAGGTCTTAAAGGCATATGTCTCCAATGCTGGCTGTATCCCTGAACACACAGAGATCTTATGGGATTAAAGGCGTGTGCCACCACCGCCACACTCTTGCTATGGCTTTAATAGCTTGACCCCCAGACAACTTTATTTATTAACATACAATCAAATTAATATTTCAGTACAAATCAAAATAATATTTCAATACAATTAGATTACCACCACAGGAACCTTTATGCAAAATGAGACCATTTAAGATTCATGTTACAAGAGGTAATTATGTAACTTTTAAAAATTACTAAAGAGCAATGAATTGCATACTCTCAAGGGGTCAGTTTTAGGGCATGTCAACCATATCTCAAAAAAGCCGACATTCTTTTAACTTTTTAGGTTTATTTATGTGTGTGTGTGTGCACATGCGCCTTGGCACCTGTGTGGAGGTCAGAGGACAACTTCTGGGAATTGGTTTTCTCCTTCCAACGTGTGACTTCCAGGGATTGGAGTCAGGTCATCAGGCTTGGTGGCCAAGGGCCTTTATGCATGGAGTCATCTTGCTGGCCCTCACACTGCTATTCTTTTTAAAGTCGCTGCTGGTTTGGGCACACGGGTCATAGTTTCCAGACTCCCTATTGTGGACCATTTGTGTGTCTCAGCTTTCCGTTATTGCAACAATTGAGACGATCAACTGATAAAGCAAAAAGGTTTCTTTGGGCTCAGCATTCTAGAGATTTCAGTGCAAGATGGGTTGGCCCCTCTGCTTTAGGAGGGTATCACATCGTGATGGGCATGTGTGGCAGAGCGAAGCTGCTCACTCCTCTTTTTCAAGATGAAAAAGAGAAATGGGAGAGGCTTAGGCCCCCACGGTCCCCATTAGGCACTCCCTCAATGAAGACCCACTATGCCTCACCTCCTAAGGGTTCTACTACCTCCTGCTATTGCCACAGGATGCGGTCAAGCCTTTAATACATCAGCTTTTGGGAGACATCCCTGATCCAAGCTATAGCATCGTTGTACGGACACACAGGAAAAGCCATGCAACGGTGTTAACTTTAAAACAAAAAGGCTACCAAAGGAGGGAGGGGATTAAGCAGTTTGCCTTCCTCCATATATAGCAGAGCCAAGATTATCGATTTTTGGAATCCACTTCACTATGTTTGAAGCCAAATCTGTCTTCAGTCAGCTGTGTCTTCCTGGGGACAGTAATGGTGTCTCCCTCTCCTACAGCTCCTGTATGTATCTAAAGCATTCAGCACATCATCAGAACCCAGGGCGTGCTGACTCTTTATTATTCACTCCAACTGCAAAGCAGCCTGAGCAGTTGAATAAGGTGGCTTTTCATGTGTGGCGTGAAAGTTCTAATCACAAGTGACATTTTCGCGAGCTGTTCCCCTGCACTGCATGCACATCCACCGTCAGGCTGGTGGCATGGATGATGTGGGTGGATCATTAATACACACCAGGAAAGATGCTCTTCTCCCTAGGAGCTATTGTTAGCACCCTTCAAAAGGCTTTTCTTTTTCAATATCTGAAATGTACTGTGAGAAATTAATTGGTTTTCTCAATCTAATTTCTATTGTCAGCTGTGACATCACAAAGCAAGCTCCCAGATGGCACCAACTGGGTTCTTTATCTGCAGCTTCAATGCTGATGCCAAAACAAAATGTGCCCAGCAGCCTGATCAAAATTTACATGCTAAGGTGTAGCCTCTTGTGAATGAAGTTCAGCAGAAAATCAATGAGTTAATAGGTAATGGTCCTGTAACAGCATCTTTACAGATTTTAAATTATAATACAATAGCCAGGAATAAATTGCAGACCTAAGATGAATATAAAATAAAAACACAGCATTAGAAGTAAAGCAATTTCTGAGAAAAAAATTCCAAAGGAATCAGAACCCACATTACCTAATTTTTTTTAGTTGCAAGTTCATTTTTAAAGAAAAATGTGGTGTTTTAAAGCATGCTTAGTTTTCACTTAAAGAGCAACACTGAATTCCACTAATTTTAGTCTTTTGTTCTCCATGGAAGACCTACCGGGAAGGACTCAATCTTTCATTATTATCTCTAAGATGTTTGTCAGGTCTACACACTCCTTTTGTTCACTGTACAGCCCTGAGCCATCTGTCATGGTTTCTGAGGAGCCTGGAAAATACATTTAGGTTAAACTGTATGCTCTTAAAACCTGTCATTGTATCACAGTCAAGGGCTATTCTTTTTCCCTTTAAAAGCTTCAGCTTAATCCTAAAACCAGTCTTGAGTCTGACAATAAATCAGATCTGAGTGTGTTTCTACTGGTAGTGAAATACCTGAATAGTACTGGATTTTAGTGTAGCCTGATTTTCTCCTCAATTCTGCTCAGATCGTGTGCTCTTCAGCCATTTGTCATATTGCCACTCTTTGGGATTTTAAAAATAACTTTTAATACTTAAAGTTTTTGTGTCTACATGTGTACAGTATATGTATGTGTTTGTGTGTGTGAAGTCTATGTACAGGTGCACATGTGTTTGTGTACATTTAGAGGCCAGAGGTCAACATAAAGTGTCTTCTTTTATAGGTCTCTACATTATTTTTTGAGCCCAGGGGCCAGAGCTTACCAACTGACTAGACCGGCTAGCCAGAGATCTCTGGGGAAATCCTCCTGCCTCCGCTCACCCAGCTCTAGGGCTATAGACCTATACTACACACTTGTCTTCTGTGCGGGTGCTGGGGATCCAAACTCAGGCCGTTAGACTTGTATAACAAGCACCACCCAAACACCTTGTCAGCTGCATTGAGTCCTCCAGGACTTGGCTCTCCCCTCCAATGTGTTCCCTTTAATTACCCTCCACCACCCACGGCCAGCACAGAGATAACTCAGTAATACAGAACCCCACTTGACTTGAGCTGTACACATACCCCCTCCTAACAATGCATTCAGCAACCCGAGACCCCCAACCTGCACCAGCTGCGCAGAGACCCTGATCCAAACAACAGTTTTTCTGCAAACTCATCCTAAACATATCCTGTAAGGAGAATAGGCCAAACCGGCCTAAACTGGTTTTAGGTGCATGTAGAGAAAGGCAAACTGCGTCCTTTGAATGAACTTTTAGGGGAAATTTTCTTCTTTACTATATATTATGCCTATGGGTGTACGTAATAGTAAAATCAGATGCATCATGGGAAAGATGCACAGTAATCAAAGGCTTATGGAAGCCTGTCAATGAAATCGCCCATATCTCACACCTCAGTAGCCAACCCCTCTCCCTGGTGGGCCCATGCAAGGCAGCCTCAGACAGCAACCCAGTGCACTTGAGTAAATCTCACTCACGGCCTCTTGTTTGCTTGAGATGCATCTATTCTGTACTTGCATTTTTTTTTCTGAATAAAATCTCTCGCCACTTTGAAATTTGTGTGTACTTCTTCAGTTCTTTGAACAAGATACCAAGATCTGGAAATGCCCTCTAGACAAAGGCCACTGGTAACACTCCAACAAGTGAATGTGCACACAGGTACCTTTTTGTCCTTCAAGTACTTGTATGATTTCACTTTTGAAAAGTATAACTTCCTTCCTGAATTCAATACTCCAATTGTCACTTAAAGACAGAGACTGTGTCCACCAGTGTCTAGAACACATACTTTATGGCACTGGGCCATGTCTCTTCTTATCTTTGTAAGCAGAAGTGTCCTCACTGAAAGCAGACATGCTCATCCTTGCTTAAGACAAGGACTATGCATGTGTGCACGTGTGTGTGTGTGTGTGTGTGTGTGTGTGTGTGTGTGTGTGCTTACTAATACAGGAACTAAATACTCACCTTGAAGTCATGATGCTGCCCTGTCACTCACCTGTATGTGATCCCTTCCAGTGAAAAAAACAGGATATGTGGGCTTAGATGACCTTCTAATGAAAACTCTCCTTAAGATGGGACACGTATCAGAGCCTGTTGATAGGATTCCTTGCAGAAATAAAGAAATATGACTAGTTTCACAGGCAATAAGTTGATGAAGGATTGATTGAGAAACAAGAAGAGAGTAATTTGATGAGCAGAAGAGGAAGGGACCATTGGCATTGTGGGTGGGATGTGGAACAGCTGGTTACTGAACTGGGTGGTACATCTGGTATCCGAGAGCCTCCAAAGAGTAGATGCTGTTAGTAGCCTCTCCAACTCTGTCTCCACTGAGCCAACCACAAATGCCCATGCACTTCCAACTACTTCCTGGGAGGTTGGGAATGAATGGACAACATGGCCATTTGCTGTTCTTTACCTCACAGCCAATGTGCCTTCAGAGTGAAATATGCTAAAAAGACAATCCATAGAGTGCTTTTACCCACAAGGCTTTACACTGCATTAATAGCCTTCTAAGCTGAAAGCTCCTGAGTCCTCAAAGCTAATGCTGGGGCACATTAAGTGCAGGGTGGAGATGTGAGGCTCTAGTCCCACTGATGGAACCAGAGAAGGATCCTTTGATAAGCAATTTGAAGACAAGGAAGTATATCGACATAATTATACTGCAGGAGAGGCCACTGCTGCTTGCTTATAGGGCAAAAATAAAATTAGGATCTCGGTATTATTCTTGAAAGGGTTTATGAAGGCACAGAAACAATTCCTGCCACAGCCATCCCTGGAAAAGGCATTCTAGGATAGTGCCACACCTTCTGAGGACCCCGTGACAACAGGGTGACAAGGAGCTCCCGTGAATTCTGCCACCGGCTCCTCGTTCCTTCAGCAATCCTGTGCCCTTGACTACAGACAGGATCTAGTAGCCTAGTTCTAGTCAGTATGAGGGAGATGGTGCAACCTCACTTCTAAGACTCGGTTACAAAAGCCAGAGCTATGTTTTGTTCTTTCTTTCTCCAGGTTTTCTCAGTTTGCCTGATCTCCTGAGGGGAGACATGTCATGAGCTTCACTTTGGAAAGGTCCACTCAGCAGAAGCTGCCACGAGTCATGAAGAAAGCAAGGCCCTCATCCAACAAGCTATGAAGAATCTTGCCAATAACCATATATGTAGCTTAGAAATTTATCAACCTTGGGTTATATTAGAAACTCTGTATTTAATTATAGATATAATATAATATATATATTATTATATTAGAAACTATAGCAGAAGACCTAAAGTAACCATGATAGATCCATGGAAACTACGAGAATAATAAACATTTATTGTCAAGCCGCTGAGTTTGGGGGCATTTGTTACACAGCTACATGTAACTAATATACTGTTTGTTCTCAATGGACAACAAACATTCACTTATGTTATGGTTCATGATTTACAGTCCTTATGGAAAATCCAGATTTGTATATTTTGATAAAGAATAAAGGCAAGATTGAACACAAAACTTTCCAGAACACCTTTGTTAGAAAAAACAAACCCTCTCTGGTAGAATGGCACAGAAGAGAGAGAGAGAGAGATCTAGAGACATGGACTGTGTGGTCATATCATTAGCTCTGCAAACCTGAGCAGGATGGAAACCGTCTCTGAAATTCACTTTCTTCACAAAAAAAAGCCGGTGACAGGACTGGTCTTTAAGAACTGAGATGCCATATTCTGTGACACTGTGATTCGGGGAACATGGGCAAGCCACACACCCCAAATCTTTCCCAGTAGCTGGAGCCATCATCATCAGGTGTGTTCCTCAGCTTTTCCAGGGACTGTCCTCAAAGTTAAT